CCGGCCTACATCACAGCACAGCTCTCACCACAGAGCGCACTCCCCAACGTGGGGTCTGTGCCACAGGCTGGGGGCACTGCCTGGGAGAAGCATTGCTGCCCGGGAGATGAGGACCGAGACCTTTGCACACCCCTGAACATGCCAGGCTCCCTATGGATGTGGTGCCTGCCTGGAGAGCGCCCAGGACGCAGAGCTGCTGGTGGCCCTGGGGACAGCAGGGGGACCCGGGCAAGGTCCCCCCACCCCTCCTCTGACCTACGACCCCTGCGGTGGGGGTGGGCAGTTTGTGTAAAGACACAGCCGCCAGCCAGAGTCTGCGCGTGTTGTTTACTGTTTGTCCTGCTCTTAGCTTCACATTGCCATTTTGTGTTTTGTCAAAGTCTTTCTCAATTCGCATTTGGTAAAATAAATAGAGATAAGGAGCCTTTAGGCCGGCGCTCTCTCGAGCCCTGGTTAACGTCGTGATTGAATTTCCGCATCAGACCTGTGAAGACAGCCCACGTGCAGGTGGCACGCGGAGCCCGTGGGGGTGGCTCCAGGGCGGAGCGGGCGCAGGAGGGTCTTGTCCCCTCTGGAGCCACCTGCCTTTTGACAGGTGGTGGTTTTGTCTCAAAACAAACAGAAACGCGTGTTAGGTAAGAATCGAGTTGAAGGACTGGATGGGAAGCTGTGTGTGCGGGTGGAGCTGGGCTTCTGGAAGATTCTGGTGTTGCCGCCTGGCATGCCCTGTGAGCTGAGTGAGGCCGGGACTTGTGGGGGTCGGGGCTCTCTACACTTTCCGGACCTGGTCTGCTCGCTCGGCCCAGACGTGGGGATGGGATTCGTGCCGGAACCTTCTTCTGGTGGGAGCTCACATTCCAAAAAAGAGCAGTGGAGGGGCCGCCTCTGTCCCACCTTGTCATGTCCCGGCCAGCCCCAGCTCAGCCTCCTGAAGACCAGGTGTTTCTGACCAAACGCAGCCAGGCAGGGTTCCATCCACCCAGAAGATGCTCTTGGCCACGGCAGGATGCCAGTCACACTACAGGGGAGCTGGGCCTCGCCACGCCCAGTCTCACTCCCGTGGTCATGGGCCTCTTACCGCCACAGTGAAGCCACTTGGCTCCTCCACCTCTCAATAATCCTGATTCCCAACGAACATGGAAAAAATGCTTTTCAAAATACCATCATTGTGGTTGTGTTCTGTTTGCAAAACTGCTCGCACATGCCCTGAGGCCCCTCCTGGGCGGGACTGTCCACACAGCTCCTGTCTGCACCACAGGCCCAGCTGCAAGCTAAGGTCGCATCAGCATGGGCGACTCAGGGCTGGAGATGGGGCTGGTGTCACCCAGAGCCGTCTAGGACCCGGCAGTGCCTCTCACCTGTGTGTGATGAACGTGTGCGGACAGAGCAGGGAGACCACGCCGCCTGCATGTGTGCCCCCAGGGTGCCAGCCGTGGTGCCCGCACATGCGTGTGCTACACCCGTGTGTGGGCACAGGCACGGAGACCACAGGCCGGGCCGCCGCCCCTGCGCGTGCGGGGAAGAGCAGCCCTTCGGAGGGAAAGGAGCCCTGTGGATTAAGGCAGGGGCTACACTGCCAAGGACCTGCCTCTCCTGTGCGCGGCCACACAGGCCCCTGCTGACAGCTCTGCGTGAGGGGCCAAAACTAGTCTAGAGACCTGGAGGTGCAGGGAGCGTGGACTGTGGAGGACGCACTGCACTCCTCCCGTTCAGTGATGCGGCCAGCGGCCAAGGACAGCCCGGCCCGCGGCTTTCCTCATACCGCCAGCTAGAGGGGCGTCTCCTTCTTCCCCTCTCTTGGTTTCCCGAATTTCCAGTGTGCCCCAGCCGGCTAGGAAATGTCCCTGCTTGTGTGCACTGACTGTGAGAGGCGGTGGGCCTGGCTGGGGCAGCACCTCTCGCTCGCTCTTGGCCTGATGGGGACGGCTGCTCCAGGGACCCGCGGGAGCCCCAGCGCCTGCCTCTCCTCCAGGGCTGTCTGGGGGTTTTGCTGCAGCTAATGCTCTGATTACATGGAAATAAAATGAAGTGTTTCCCCTTTCAACGTCTCAGAGAAACACAGAACAGGAGAGGGACAGACGCGCTGCGGCCGCGGGGGTGCACCTGGATGCTGGTGCTCAGTGGGAAGCCACCGTCAACCTAAGCCCTCCCTGTCCCTGACGTTCCGGACACGACAGCGAAGACAGACAAAAGCGAGTAGCAGGGCCCTCCTGCCGTCATCAGCAGCTAAGGCAGCAGCCAACGTTCACACCGCGGGGCCGCAGCAGCCGACACCCCGCGCCCCGGCAAGTGGCAGGTTCACTATGTACAGCAGGCGGCCGTGGCCTGGCGGGCCGGGTCACGCCGCTATCTGACGCGCTTCTCCACTGAGTACACGGAGATGTAGTAGTCGTTGCTTCCCACGGCCAGGTGAGGCTGCAAGGAGAGAGCAGAAGGGTGAGCAGGGGTTCAGGTGCAGACACTGCGGGCAGGGGGCGGCGTGCGGGCCAACCCGCATCCTTAGGCAGCTCCTGCTGGGGTCTCAGGAATCCCTGCGCCCACCTCGGGCCCGGAAATGCTGGGCCGGTACCCACCAGTCCTCTCTGCAGGGCCCATGCATGGTGCACTCCGTGAGGGGTATGGTGCTGCCCCCGGGCCCTGCGTGTTTTTTTCAGCACTGCCCCTCAGGGACAGCTTTGGGATCTAATGTCACACATGTCAGCAGAGCTGCATGCCTGAAGCCTGAAGGCATGAATGCAAGAAAGCAGGTGGGCAGGATCCTAATCTAAAGACAATGGCCTGAAGCCACGTGGGGAGGCTGCAACCAAGGCCAGAGAGCTGTGCAGGTGGGGCCCAGCTGCACAGGGGATGAGGTGAAGACTTGGTCACACAGGGGATGGGGTGAGGGCTGCACAGGGGACGAGGTAAGGCCTGGCC